AAAAGACACAAAGCAAGAATGGAAAAAAAAAGTTGGGATGATGGTGATGTGTTGGATTGTTATCACCAGCAAGACTGGGAAAAAAATAAAAATAAAACAGATCCTCTTGTTTAAATGGGCACTAATAGGGAAATAATGGCAAAGTAGAGCAGCTGGACAAGTACCCCTACATCCTTCAGTTCCTCTCTTTGCAGAGTAGAGCCAAACTGACTCACACAACCTACCCATAAACAGGGTGAGATAAACATCAGAGAGGGAACAGGGCACCAACACATTCAGTGCAACACTAAATTCCCACGCTCAGTCTCTCTGCATCTTTAATTTGGCCTGCAAAGGACAAGAATATCCTCTGAATCCCTAAGCTTACCCACCGTTATCTTTATAACATGCTAATCTAGCTGCAGCTATTTCAAGCCTGTTCTCTGGGTTCTGCTAATCTGAGGATCAATCTGTGCCTATGAAGAGAAATTCACGGTGTTTATGGCACTTTGAGATAAAATGACTGCCTTGTAATTTGGGCACCACACAGAGAGCATTGTGCAGTTGCATGTCTGAGAAGTAACATGCACATTTTACACTGCAAAACTGCAGTGAAAGTGCATGCCCCACTGAAGAACATGAACAGCACTCAGATGCTGTCACTATGTGAGCTACCTTCAACTAAAACAAAAACTGCAGGGTGGAAAATTATTTTAACAGTAATCGAGTGCAGAGATGGTGAGGCGATTCATCCTGTGTCTTCCTTCTAGGTAAATATATGGATAATGATGTGGCATTTAGAATACCAGTGAGTGGTGTCTCTTCTGAATTTCAAGAAGTTAGTGTGTGCAGCTTCTTTCCAACGAGACCAAACAAAAAGTGAGAACGCGCCTAAAACAAATGACAGAAACTATACCGATGATCTCAGTTCAGCTGATCTTTGAGCATACATATAGCATTTGTAATTTCTGTCTTAGGGTGAACTGATGCTGTGAGGTCAGGATTTGATTTTGAACAGAATGTGTCGCTGGTGTGTCTGCGGTGGCCCGGGACCAGCTGCTTTCCCTAGGGTGGCTGCTCTCTTCATTTAGTCACTTTTAGTCTTTTTGCAGTCGCTTCCGTTCTCCTCTGGCTCGCTTCCTTCTGCCTCCTCTGGGTGCTTCCTCTTCTTTGTGTTGTCTGACTGGGCGGGGGACAGGTGTGGCCGGAAGGTGACAATGATGCAGGTCATGTTATCACAGCCTGTCCCATCTCCAGATGTGTTGGGGGCTAAACAGTGGTCCAACAGCTGTCAGGAGGACACATGGAATTTCACTTTAAGGATGCAAACTGAAAAAGGTGCTAGGGAGACAACTAGGGCTAATGCATAACGACTTCACAGTTGTTTAAAATAAAATGCAAGTCTTCTTATAAGCTGCTTTTGTGTTCATTCTACTTGAGCCTGAATCAATACATTTAAGGCACTGAGGAAAACTGCAGAAGTATTCAGAGTGTAACAGAAACTCTCTTGCACCTCTTCCACTATGGACGAGAGGGTTCTGGCTTTACCACTCTCATCTGGTTTGATCCTCTCACCGATGAAGTCCACCACCTCCTGACTGCTCAACACATTCCTACACACACACACACACACACACACACACGAAGCAAACCGTCAGCTGCTAGTCAAATTAACCTAGTTGCCTCATGCCTAATAGCATCATAAGCTCAAGATGTTGGCACAATTATCAGCCTGTTAATGCTGCAACAGTTTTAAAGCTAAATGGTAAAACACACTGAAAGTGTTTTTGGAGGTGGAAATAAGGAGTAAGTTCAGATAAATTAACTTCTCTCCTGCACTATAGAACAGGGGCACTTTGATTTTGATCAAGCTGTTGGTTTTATGTTACATGTGAAAATTCCTATCCCACATTTTAATATACTATAAAAGACCAGTTTTATAAAAAAAAACAACAACAAAAACCTGCACACAGACAAAAACGTGCTGCTATGTAACAGCTAGCTTTGTAGACTGATTCACACTCAACTGCCAGTTTATTAGGTAACAGTATGATAATGAGGCTGTAGTTTGTGCTGCTGTTGAACTGTACTGCACTATACATAGAACTGCTTATTTAGCTAAGCCTCACTGTTACAGTTGTATAATGCAGTACAGTTCAACAGCAGCACAAGCTACAGCCTCCAAAATGATCACACAGTTGAATCAACACCTTTCTGAAGCATAATGAACAAAAACTGAACATTAATAGTTTTAGCTTTGCGTACAGCTTGCTGAAAGCTGTTAACAAGTGTGAAGAAGAGCTTATGACTCCTAATGAATACACACTGCTTTCCTCCTCTGTTACTTACCAGATGCCATCACAGGCAATCACCATGAAGTCGTGGTCCTCATTAAGCGTCAGAACTTTGACATCTGGCATTGCAGAAATCATCTGGTCCTCTGGGGGCAGAGCTTTGTTCCTTTTGTAGAAGTGGTCACCTGAGAGTACACATTAACAGCTTGTTATTCTGCTCTCAGATGGGCCAATCTCAGAAGAAGAGAATGTGCAAATGACACTTGGATTCGAGACAGAAAATGTGTGTACTAAGATCTGCTAATGAGCTTAATTCTGGCACTCCTCAAAAGAACAGTCTAAAAGTCACACACAGACTCAGCTGTACCAATAGCTCGAGAAAGGTTGAGTCCACCGTTGACCCGTCCGTCCATTGTCACTTTCCCTCCAGCGTTTTTGATGCGAGCGAGTTCCACCTCGTCCTCTGGCTTGTGGTCATACGACATATCGACAGCTTTGCCTACAGTGACATAGAGAGCAAGTGCTTCCGTTTCATTCAAGATTACTACAAAGCCTTTAATTCACCACGCATTTCTGTGGTGACCATTCAAAAGACAAACACTTTCATCAATTGTTGTTCAGTAAGAGCAAAGGGGTGGCGTTCTTTCGCACAGACCGTGGGACAAAGAAAGAGCAAACACCAGGTTTAACATCAGTTTGGCTTTTAGACATGGAGAGCAATAAATGTAACCAAATGAATCAGATTTGATTCAGATGTGTTGTTCTCCATTCTGAAAGTGTTAGCATCTAAAGCTAACATTTTTGTTTTGGCAACATTAGCGACCTAGCATAGTCACGATTTGACCTTTGTATGGAATTAATATGATTTTACGTTGGGAGTAACTCGAGCTCTGTGTAACATTAGTGTTTTGTGTCACATCAGCAGTAAGCAGCGCAATCTACTGGACTGACAAATTTACTTGTTAGTCAGCTAATTCTAGCTTCAGACTGGAGGCTGCCTTTTGTACAATTCGTCTCAACCAGGCATACGGCGGGGCAAAGAGCACAAAAGAGTGGTTTCTTTCGCAAGTATCACGAAACTGAAAATGAAATAGGTATAGCAGCTTGAATGTAAAGTTGAGACTTGGCAGTTCCATTATTTTATTTCAAATCGAGAGTGTGCTGATGCATAGAGCCTGAAGAACAAAAAATGTGTAACTGTCCAAACACTTAGACTGTATAGCCTTTTTTGTGTTATTAGTAAAAAAACAACAATAAAATACACTCTGTTGTCCCAAAGATATGCTGTGTTCACACTACAAAAGTTACACAGTAAAGTATATTGAGTACAGACAGAAGGTAGTGCATGGTCATAATTTGAAGACTGTTGATGTACACTATTTTCTCACAATGCAACGCACTAAGAATATTGAAGACCTACTCTGCTGAATACAAAAACAAAAAAGCATTATGGATAGTGGTGAAACAGTCCTATAAAGACAATGGAAAACAAAAGAAGTACAACATTTCAAGAAATAAATTTGCTATATCTTTGCGAAGTTTAACTGGCAGTGACACTCACTATAACAACGTGATGTACTGTGTACTGTATAGAAATAGTATGCAGTATAGATTTAGGATGCAGCCTTGCCCACAAAAAATATACAGTAAGCTTCCCAAAGTGATGCTGTGTTCACTCTTTGTAGATAATAAATAAACTTTCACGCTGTTCTACCTTTATGCAAATTGTCTTAATTTGTGCAATGAACTCCATAAATGTGCAAACAAAGACATTTTATTTTGTCTCTGTGTTTTCGTATGTGAAACAATGTACTGACGACGACATCTGAGCAAGTCACGGCTGAATACACAGAGATACCAGCAGAACAAAATACTGCAGAATTAAACAGGCAGGAAAAAGAAACTTGATGATAAGATATCAGCAGTCTGCTGATCTTGATGGGCCAAGTACCTTAATGGCTTTGACTCACCGCGTTCAGACACCACACAGCGCGAGTCTCCAGCATTGGCCACAATCAGCTGCTTCCCTCGGATCAGAGCTACTACAGCTGTGGTGCCGCTGTCTGAGCCAGGCTGCAAACGCACAAATATAACAATGTTAAAACTCCATGTTTTACACAGACATATTTGGGACACCCCTCTATGCAAGAAACAAGTGGACCAATGACTTAAAAGCTTTCAGACTTTTTTTTTCAATAGAAAAAATATTAAAGCAGCCAAATAACCTCTTTCATCTGCACAAGTCATTAAATTTGACTGGCTATGTTGTCATCCAACTTACTGCAGGCTTTTAGTTAACTTCATAGTTTGAAATTACAGCTGTGCTCTTTAAAATGGCTAAAACAAACAACTCTCTCACTTCTCAGGATTCTGGTCTTTAGAAACAGGAAATGAGCAATAGCATAACAACACTTTTTGACTATTTTTACAACGCGTTAAACAATTTATAAATAAAGTTGTACATCACATAGAAAGTGATAAGTGATATCCACAGAGCTGAGACAACAAATTAACAGTTCTGATAACAAAGTTATTTTTCAGTACTCCAGAAACACTGCACTGTTGTCCTCACTCACAGGTTGGCATGGCCACTCTTAACAGTTACATTAATCTATTATTATGCTCCATCCTCAAGACCTTTACTCCACAGTTCAGCTTTGAACCAGACGTTAAAAAGGTTGAGGCATCAAAGGAGCCTGTATCCCTAAAAACAGATGATATGCTGTCTGTACCACACGTAGGAGTTTGTAGCTTAGTGTAACATCCCTTTGTACACACCTCTTCCTTGCCATCCATTCCAGGTAGACACATTTCCTCCTCATCTTCATCCTCAGAGTCTTCCTCTCCCTCTTCCGTATCCTCATCATCCAACTCACTGCTGTCACCTTCTTCCTCTTCACTGCCATCCTAATAAAAAAACACAACTGTTATTACAATGCTTCTCAAACTGAATGAGCTCACCCGACTAAACAGAAATCTATCCTGTCTCCTGCTCTCACCTCCTCATCACTACCCTCCTCCTCCTCCTCTCCATCCTCAGACTCCTCACTGTCTTCAAAGAACCTGGACTTGGCATCTCCTGCAGCCTTGGAGGACAAAGAGGAGCAGGACGGACCAGCATCTCCTTCTGCTTTTCCAGACTTTTCTTCTCCATTGGACTCTCCAGAGTCAGCTGCTGTTGTGTAGAACCGAGGGCAACATGAGATGTTGGACAAGTGAAGTAAAGGAGAAGACTGTTAATGAGTGCTCAGATTTTGATTTTCATACACTTGAAGCCACTTCTAAACACTATGTTTTATATGAAACTGTACAAATATTCCCATGCATATTCTCAGTATCTGAAAGGCACATAAAATGACAGTTTGCCTGACAAGTTTTTCCAATGTCATTTTTTTGTAAACAAAAATGTACTCGTTGAAGACTCCTGAATCCCAGTTCCGCACCTGCACTGCTGCCTTCACTGCCACCTGTTCTTCGACAGGCTCGCAGCTTAGAGCTACACGCTGCCCCTTCGCCTTCCTTCACCTTCCCATTGCTCTCCTCCTCCACCTCTCCATTCAAACCCTCCTTCTTCTGTCCTTCCTCACCCCCCTCGTTGTCACCCAAGGCCTCAGGTTGCAAGCAGGATGCCTTCTGTGCAGCAGCACTAAGGATAAAACAAAGAGGAAATAAGGAGTGGTCCACTATGAGTCTTACAAACAGAGGTACCTGGTGTAATAAATACATGAGATCTGTCCCCAGAAGAAGTCTTCAGATGTTCTGATTAAGGTCAACACATCCTATTTTCACTGAATTCGTGCTGAAAAAGTTTGTAATGACTTTATGGGTTGGACTTGAGGTAACCAACCCAAATGCACTATTCTGGATAGAGTAATGTTTCAAGGAAGTGCCCATTTATTGGCTGTTCAAGTCTTAAAGTACTCTTTAAAAGCCACAAACTCTTAACCCCTGTAAGAACAAGATCTTTGTTTAACTACCTGATGGCAGCAACATGTTTGACAGCGTTGCGGTTCTGGCCGTAGCGTACCAGCAGCTCCTCTATAGTCATGGTGGCCTCCTCGTGGAGCAAAGCTGCCTCCTCTGTGTCCACTGAAAGGAGGCCAGAAACATGGACTTGCTCAGAGGTTGTCATTGTCATTAAGATAATGCATCATGTTTTTTTTTTTATCCACCAGCAGTGTGCACAAATACATTTCAGTATAAATGTTATTAATTGTGAACTCACAATCGTCCTCGTCTGCCACTTTTTCAGCAGGCGGCTCCTCAGTGGGCCGTCCAGCGATCTGAACCAGCTCCTTGATGACTTCCTCTGTGGTCATTCTGCTGTCAATGGCCAAGAAGGCATCCTCCAGAGCCTGGAAACAACACACAACAGAAGTCAAACAACATGCTGTAATACTGGACTTAAATACTGATGAGATGCCAGTCGGTTCAGAGAATGATTTCAATGTATTACCTTTTGCAGCTTTCCATCTTGGTAGGTCTTCTGCTCCTTGATGATGTCAGGAAGGTACTTTGAACAGTAGAGAGCCACCTCTTCACCTAAATTGGAACACCAAGTTTTTTTAAACTCTCAGGATAGGTCTGTGTACACATAGTACTCAGAGAGGTGTGTAAGACAAACAATAACAGGGGCAACACTTCACAAAAATCAGTGTGTTGTGATGAAGACCCAAAAGGAATGCCTGTCTGCTGTTTGCGGTGATAAACTGTCAATGTTATAATCAACGAAGGATTTGGCTAAAGCTCATAACAGTATAAGCATTTAACAAATAAATATATTGCACAATATAGCAAATTAATATGAAAACACAACAGCTTTTGGGTTGTGCATGTGTTACCTCCATGTCCATCAAATACAGCAAACATGGCTGTCTCATCATCAAACTCTGGGATACAATTGTGGGCATCCTGTGAAACAGCAAAACAAAAATTCATTTTAAAATGCAGACAACATCCTCTTCTGTTAAAAACCAACCGTAAACTCACACAGGAAAGTCAGAAGGAATAAGGTGACAAATAAAAAGAGAGAACATCATCTTTGCTCATCATTGCGTAAAATTTTTGATCATGTCAAAGCAAAATGTTGCCTGCCCTTTATGTGGCGATGAGCCTTGTGTTATTATTGCTGTTAAAGTTTACAGGTCTTGTTACAAAATTACTTGTATGCGCTTAATAATCAATATTTCCCAATTTTACTCTGTTGAGAGCAGGTCTATTATAGCCAGTTGGCTCATTTCAAGATTTCTGCAGACCACTCACATCTTGGACACAAACAGAACACTGTATGCCAAAACAACCAGACACCAGTTTCTTCAGTGCCATCACTCTCATAAACTGTGAATCCATGTTTTTCTGTATAACAAAATACAGCAAACTACACCAGTGCAATCTGTAAATAAACCATTGTACATATCTACTTGATAGCTTTTCTGACACAATGTGTATATATTGTATATGTACAGATAAATATATTGTTTGTCATTTTCCCGTTTTATTTCTAAATTGATTGTACATATTTTCCTGTTTAAATGCATATATTTTCTTGCTGCCTTACAAAAGCATACTGAGTCACTGTACTGCGATCAAATTACTTGTGTGTTTAACATGCACGGCCAACAAACCTAATTCAGATTAATACATGATGCACAATGTGTCTAATTTGCATATCAAAAGTGAATTCACAAAATAAAGCAAAGGCACCAGAACTTCAAATGCGGTCTGCTGCACTTAAGTGCTTTATGTTCACTGTTAGACAAGTCTAACATTTAAATGCGCTTGAATACTGCCAGAGTGATTATAATGCAACTCAGCATGCTAAATAACACCTCGAGGACGGTTTATGGATTGCACTCATCACTGCAGCTGATACTCGGGGAAAATCTTATTTAGGAGACTGAAAAGACACCAACCAGCCCCACACAAACAAACCTATCCAGAGACTAGTCTCACATCCCTTTAATCCCACCATGTACTAGTCAAGATATATTTTCACGTGGTCGCGTCCAGGAAACGGAGGCAGCATGGCTGTCTTTCATCCAGTCGTTCATTTTCCGCCTCACCTCCATGGAGACACGCCAACCCTGCATGGCAGAGAAACCGTAGCTCATGTTGCTGTTGCCGCCATCGGAGGAGGTTTTAGTCGTGTTAGGTTGCGACAGATATGCCCCCATGGTTGTCGGTTGCTATGACTTTACACCTGGAGAGAAGACGACACAGAAACACCACATTTTAACTGCACAGAAATAAACGACCGCATGTCACACTTCAACTGCAGCTTGGATAGTTACGGTTGCTTACTTGTTAGCTAGCTAACGTTAGCAACACCACAACAAAAAAGTAAACGAATCAGCTAGCTAACATCACCATGCTAGCAGGAACAAACCCGGCTAAACTTCCAGTCGTAACCTCTGTCCCCGCCATGCCAGCGGCTGCGCAGTTGCAGCAAGATCAAACACTCACTCACTGCCTGTTAATTTACCTATTCTGACGGAGTAGGACGAACTAATAAACGGGTCCCAAACAGCGAGATTCACATAGGACTGATTACACGTGTGGAAGCAAAAGCCGCTATCAACACAGACAGACCGAAGAGAAGCAGGAACCGTGAAGGAAGTGAGCATGCGCACATGTCCCTTTCGTTAGGACAAGGGGGCGTGTCTGAGACGTACGTCCTACGTCACAGTGACACTTTTTTTTAAATCAACGAACCCTGAGTAACTGAAATCCATATTACATGTCAAAAACGAAAAGATAAACATGTCATACAAAATTATCCATATACATGCTAAATTTATCGAAGAGCACGTTTGTATTTCTCTAATATTCAGTGGGAAAAAATGATGGCTTTCTTCAGTACAAATTTGTTTTTCCAACAAAATTAAGAACAGTCTAATAGTCTACACTATATATTCCACCTACTATTATATCTCTAGATTTGCCAATATCATTAACAGGTGTGACCTTATGTAAAAATGAAGAAGACACAATACTACATTTTTATGAATGTTTGCATAGCAAAATATACTGGAAAACCCCGGAAAATTACCTGACCAACTGAAAAAAAAAAAGATTTGATAAATCCATATCCCCAAGTCCAAATTCGCCTTGTCACTCCCATATATTGAACTATTTGGCATTTAATTTGAAAATTATATTGAATTTGTTAACCTTATAATAAGACAAGCACATGGTAAGAGTCAGGAAACCACCAAAGTAATTTATTCATCGGGAACCATGAATGTCTGGACAAAACTTCAATTCATCCAGAGAGATATTTCAGTCTGGACCAAAGTGGTTGACTGTTAAAGGTTCACCTAAGAGATTAATTCTGGTAGTTCATTTATGTTTGTACCACATTTTATGAGAAACCATCCAGGAGTTGACAGCATATTTCACTGTTGACATCTTTTGTTTGACTGCTTATGTGCACAGATAATCCTGTGGATGGCAGCAGAGTCATTTGGAGCTGTTATGCTATAGGTTTAATGTATCATAGTGTATTACAACCCAGTGTCCTGAAGGACAAAGAGTCAGGAGGGTTTCATCCCAACCAGCCACTGACTCATACACCTTTAGTATGCCAGGACAAACTAACCTTTTAATTCACCTATGTGGGTTGGTTATACTTATCAATGAATTATGACAAAATAGGCCCCTGTGCATAGGCAGACCTCCAGACTGAAAAAGACTAAGGTTTTGTTTATTCTTATGGTCATTTTTGTGACCATTTATGGCAATTTTGCCACTTTGTGGTGGTTTTGGGTCTCTTTGTGGTCACTTATGCCTGACTCCTGGGGGCCCCAGCCTGTGCCTGGTAGTGCCATTCAATAATCCATCACTGGTTATGCTTACAGTGCCACAGTGTCGATGGAGACAGCAAAGGAGGACATACTTTAGTTCCTCTCACCCTCGGGGCCTCTCTGTCCTGCCCTGCCATTGGCTGCTGCTCTACAGTCCTGGTTGCTCTGCTCCTTGAGGATCTGTGTTACTGCAGGAGCAATAGAAAGCAGGAGAGGAAACACACACTGTCCTTGGGATATAAAAATGTAATCACAGACACACATACTCATCATACACACATTTGCACCCTGTCTTTAAAAAGCAGAATGTTTTCTGTTGTTCAGCTATTGAACATCAGTTGTTTCTGTATAGTATGTCGATTTATATATTAATGACTTTCTGCTAAGCATGTCTGACTGTTTCTCAGATACTAAGACCACTGTAACAAGCTTTTTGCAGGCAGGTTTTTCAAGGCATTAACTATAAAAAAGGTTTCTAAAAAGCTACTACTGTGAGTTCAGTGGTGACTTCATTCAGATGTGTGTGTTGGGGGAGCAGCTTCTGTCTGCAGGCTCGTAAACTTGACCGATGACTGCGGAAGAGAACCGCAGGAGTCCAGCTAGACCTGCAATTGTACCTATAGAACAGACAAAGTGTGTGTGTGTGTGTGTGTGAAAATGTGCTTCCTCTAGTCAAAACACTTATATAGAAAGCTAGACCACAATAACAGGTTGTACGTAGTTGGACACTGGAAGCATTCATGAAGACATGCACATCCTTTTCAGTGTTCTCCTTTTAAAATCACGCTGGGCTTGTTGCCCTCACTTTGCAGAGTTCAGCAATGTCCCAACACACACACTCCAGCAATTTAGCAACAGTAAAATAGTTTACTATAAGACGCACAGCTCTAGTCTGCATTGCTAATATTATTAATGTTACTAATACTGTTAATATCTGGATAAGGATAATCACCTTTATTTGGCCAAGTATGTTACACACACAAGGAATTTGTTTCCGGTACAGAACCAAGGCAGCCATCTGTGGCGCCAACTCACACTAATGACTCGAACCATCGGGGGCAACTTGGGGTTCAGTGTCTTGTCCAAGGACAGTTTGATATGTGGACTGCAGGCACCGTAATTCGAACCTCCACCCCCTTCGATTGGGAGACAACTGCTCTACCCACTGAACCACAGTCGCCCCCACAATGTCTTCTCTTTGGCAGTATTTGGAAGCTGCTTCACTTCCTCTAAATCTACTATGTGCTCTATTCTACACATGTCATCTACTGGAAATCTGTCCAGCCTGGAAGAGATCTCTTCTCTGTTGCTCTTCCTGAGGTTTCTTCCATTTTCTTCAGTTAAAGAGCTTTTAGGGGAGTTTTTCTTAATGCCCATTTGAAGGTTTAAGGACAGAGCGGGTACAGATGTTAAGGCCTTGTGATGCAAATTTGTGATCTTGGGCTCCCATCCATCCTTTAGCAATCTAGGGTCTGGTTGTGGCAGTTTAGTAGGACAGTCTGCATGTCACTCTCCCCAGAAATGTTTTCCAGCTCTTTCCGGTGGACCTTGAGGTATTCCCAGACTAGATGAGATATATAGTTCCTTCAGTATATTCTGGGTCTACGCCAGGCCCTTTTACCAGTTGGACATGCCTGGAAAAGCTCCAGTGGAAGGCCTTCTCCTGGAGTCCCTCCTGGGAGGGGAGCTTGCAGGCAAACATCTGGTGGCTGTGCTTTCCCCCATCCCATGAAGCCACCACATTGCGGGCCCTGCTCCTGCAGGGATAGGAACCAGGGTCTGGAGCAATGTAGGCAGGTCACAGGTGAGGTTGGGGACCTGGGCATGCCAGGTTATGGTGTCTAGAGATGTTGTGCTGCATTAAAATTTAACTTAAATTGATTTGAGCTGATTATTTTCAACAGTAACTGCGTAATATGGGATTATTAGTGATAAGATTAATAAAATCCTCCTTCTTCATTATGATATGTGGTCAAGTCTTATCCCCAAACTTACTGTACATAACACATATTTGTATTTCTGTACTTGTCATGGTTCTGTTTCCTCTGCTTCCGGTATCGTGTTTTTATTCTGACACCACTTCCTGTTACAGTCTCACCTCAGCTACAGACTCTTTACCCTAATCAGTGACAATTGTTTACACCTGCTGATGCCCCTTTATAGGCAGCTTCCTCCCCCCAGGAAGCTGCCAGATTGTTCTTACTCATGTTCAGACCTTCTTGTGCCTGTTATTCCAGGTCTGACCCTGGATTGCCTTGTGACTACCGATTACTTCCTAACCCTTCTGATTCTGATTGTATTCTGTGCTTCGACTTATGGACTTCCCTTACTGACCGAGCTTCTTGTGGATACCTCGGATGTGTGAGTTTGCTGGCTCTGACCCTGGACTGGAATTATCAACCTGAGTGTGATACATGTTTAATCAAACTTCTGCATTGTGTACAGTTCTTTGTGAACAGTGCTCTTATTAAAGAGACAGTGTTCTGCTTATCCCCGTCTGGCCTTATAATTGAGTTCACCCTCAACATTATCAGCAGCTTTACTCACCGATCGTGACAGTACTTGGCAGGATCTTCACTGACATAACAGATTTCCAAACCATCATAAGTACTGTATATGCCTAAACCAAAGCTTAAACTAATCAAATCCTAATTCAAAATTCTTTTAGAGGGTGTCATTTTATGTCTTTATTAGATAGCCAACAGTAGAGCGACGACAGGGAAGAAGTGGATGAAGGGCATGCAACAAAAGTCCACAACTGGACACATACTAGGACAGTGCACTTCATGGTCATCAGCACCTTAAACATCCTACTGTGATTCTGCATTTAACCCCCTAAAACCAAAAATTTAACCCTCCAACGGCCTTTAAAGATAAGGCTCAGCCGAAATATCTTGCATCTCACCCTCACTAAAACTAGGACTGGTCCTTACTTGGACAATGGCACCAGGTAAACACACATCTCATGACCCTCAACATAACCATTTAACCCTATATCACTTGCAAAGGGACACACACTAAAACACAAAATCTACACACACACACACACACAGAGGATGTGTCTAGAGCTGACATGCTAGTACATCCTGCCAGCAATACAACAGCTGACAGTGACATCTTCTGTTTCTACTCTGTGTGTATTATCTTCATTTGTAGTCCATCAGTAGTGGGATAAGAAGGTTGGAAACACTGATAATTGAAGGAAAATTCCTTTCCTGTCTTTCTTTCTTATCTCATGTGTCCCTCTTCCCATTTTTCTTCTCCGCCCACTGTCGCTTCCTTTGACCTCCTTTCTTCTTCCCTTGTCTCTCTTCTGATCTTGCATTTCTTTTTTATTTTCCATCCTCTCTGATCTCTTTGTTTTGTCTCTCCCTTCCTGTACTAGTGCTTCATCTTTCAACAAATTTCACTAAATGTCGGGTGTTGACTTCGCTAACCACTGTATGATTATTTTGTCAATAAGTTTTATCCACCACTGTGGTGCTGACACAAACTGCATGGCCTAAATCTCAGTTTTGTTTTTATTTTTTATCTTTTACTTTCTTTTTTTAAAAATAATACAAAATAAAAAAGTTTACTTTTGCACACTTTCAGTACAGACTTAATTCAAAGTGCCATGTATCTGTAATGGACTGTTGTCAGGCATAAGATTCACAATGTAAAAAACAACTTTATGCAAAAGCTTTAGGCTGCAACAATCAGTCAAAAGAGGAGCCAAATTACAGATCTGAGAAACATCAGTAATTGCTGAAACATTCTTAATGGGTTTTATGTAAGTAATGTAAGAGCTTTATGTAATTAAATACAAATGAAAATGGAAAAAGGAAACAGAAACTAGATAAATGCATTTTCGGA